CCGCCCCGTTGCCGCCCGTCGCCTGGGCCTGCGGGCCGTTTTGGCCGCCGTGTGGCCGCCATCGCCCCATCGTAGACGCCCGCCGCCTCGTCGCCGCCCGCTTTGCATTGCTTCGCATTGGCTTCCATTGCTTTGCATTGCTATGCGTCGCTTGGCGTTGCATTGTGCTGCGTTGCAGTGCTCTGCATCGGCAGACTGCACAACGTAGAATGCACCGCATAGCAACGTTTGCGCCACATAGGTTACACCACTTCGACGCCGAGCAGTCATCGCAATCGCCACCGCATGGGTTTTGCAAACCAAATTGCGGGTGGGTGGGTGAATGGGTTGGGATGATTGCGCGAGCAATGGAGTTGATAACTTCACACTCGGCAGGGTGAATTCTCCTTTCTTAAAACAGACTAGAATATCCCCCCTGGACTTATTCAGCCCCGCGTATTGCAATTTACATATGATTCCGCCCCATCGTCCATCCGAAACATGAATGCGTACCATCCCAGCCGGACCAGTATCCGCCCCCCACCCGCCATTCCCTGCCAAAAAACTATGCGCGCACACTCGCTTATAACACATCATCAATGTACAAGAATCCCTTACAACAGACACGACGACATGCACACGCGCGCGCGCGATGTCGCGGTCGCATGCCGGAGTCCTTTTAAAAAACCTTCGGCTCCGTAAAGATTTCAAAATCGAGTGTCCAAAACGCATATAAAAAACACAAGGTTTCGCAACACGGATTTTCAAAAAAAACGTGCGCGCGCACTCTTGCGAATTCTTAAGAAAACCATGTGCTTTCTACTATTTCAGAAAATGTTACCAAATGGGCTGCGCGTGCGCAGGTCGAAATCGTTCCACAGCCCTTGCGCGCGCGCCGTCGCGAAAATCCTGCGCACAAAACGGGACGAAGTGCACGCGCGCGCGTCGTCGCGCGCGCATGCCGAAATCCGTCAAAAACCGTCGGTTTCGTAGCGATCCCAAAACAGATTGTCCAAACAACATGTAAAAGCGCATGTCTTCGCAACATGCGTTTTCAAAAGATGTAAGTGCACGCTCTTGCGAATTCTTAACAGAACCATCGGTGTTTCAAGAGTGTCATGGGACTCTGCCAAACGGGCCTTTGGCGCTGCATGCCGAAATCATTCGCACGCCTGTGCGCGCGTGCAGGGGCGGGGCACGATCCGTGTCGAATAATGCCATGCGGGCCCCTCTCGCGCGTCGGCCGCGCGCACGTCGAACTCTTCCCCAAAGCTTCATCGCCGACGCGAGGACGCCGTCATCGTCGTCGGCGTGATCAGCATGTCGTCGTTGTCAACATCGCCACCAACATCGCTACTATAATCATCGTCTCTACCGTTGTCGACGTTACCATGATACCGGACCCGCCCAAGTCGCCGATTCGCACTGAAGTGCCCGCTGGGATGTGCCCAGCGGTCAGCGCGACCGCGGCCGCGTCGGTCGCGCCAAACTAGCTGGCCGCTGCGCGCGCGTGTTATGGTTGGCGCGGCCGCAAAGATGCACTAACCAACGCCAAGCACGAATCGCAATCGCCACCGCACGGGTTTTGCAAACCAAGTTGCGGGTGGGTGGGTGGGATGTTTGCACGATCGTGAAATTTGTCAACTCGTTTGTGAAAATCAATTGCACCACATAAACTCCACTACGTAAATTCTCTGTTCTAAAAACAGAATAGGATCTCCCCCCCCTGGCGTTATGAATCCCCCTTCCGGGTATGTAACTCATATATGATTCTGACCACATATCCATCCTAAATATGAGTTTACACTATCCCAGGGGGGCCGGGATCCCCCCCCTGAGGTTCCCGTATAAAAAACACTGTGCGGTTACATTTTTAGTTCTAACATAGCATTTGTTCACGAATCCCTTGCAACAAAAACGGGACGGAGTGCACACGCGCGCGTCGTCGCGCGCGCATGCCGAAATCCTTGGGAAACCTTTGGTGCCGGAAGGATTTCGCAATCGAGTTTCCCAAAACAATATACAAAAACACAGGGTTTCGCAACACTGATTTGCTAGAAAAGCTTCCGCGCGAGCTCTTGCGAAATCTTAAGAAAACCATTGTTTTTTTCCGGATTTTCACAACATGCTATTAAACGGGCTTCGCGCGCGCGTATTTCGAAATCTGTCGAACGCCCTTGCGCGTGTGCCGTCGCGAGAACCCTCTGCAAAAAACGGGACGAAGTGCAGACGCGCGCGTCGTCGCGCGCGTATGCCGAAGACCTTCCAAACCCATGGGTTTCGGACGGATTTCAAAATCGCGTGTCCAAAAAACCTACAACAACCCAAGGTTTCGCAACACGGATTTTCACCAAAAGCGAGCGCGCGCGCTCTTGCGTCGTCGTCGTCGTCGCCGTCCTCCCTCCTCCCGCGTCGTCGTCGTCGCCTACGTCGTCCTCTGTCTTTCCTCGTGTTGGTCGTCGTCGTCCTCTTTGGCGTCGTGGTCGATTCCGTCGTCGTTGTCGCCGTGGTCGTCCTTCCT